AAAAAAAAAAAAAAAAAAAAAAAAAGATTAATTCAACTCTATAGATGAAAAAAGTATTGAAAAAATGTTGTGAATATGTAATAGGAAATGCATAACAAAAAAAAAAAAAAAAAAATAATAAAAATATTAAAATAAAATAAAACATACAAAAAAGAAGTATATATGTTATCAATGAAAAAAAATTTCCTAATCCAACGATAAAAATATTCTATATATCTACAAAAAAACATAAAAAAGAAAAAAAAAAAAGGACAAAAATTATATACGAATTTATATTATAAATGTGTGTAATAAATATATAAAATCTCAAAGATAACCATAATTTATCTTTTTAAAAATTTATTTATTTTTTATAAAACAAAAAAAGTTATATTTACATAAAAAAAAAAAACAAAAAAAAAAAAAATAATATTACTCCAGCTTAATATATTTAAATCATGTTATAGCTTTTTAAGGTTTGGAAAATTTTTTGGTTTCATTAAAAAAAAAAAGATTATTTATTTTTACAACATTTTATGTATTGATACATATATTAAATTAAAATAATAAAATGTCAATTTTAAGCTTTTTTTTTGAATCATATGTATTTCTTGCCATTTATTTTATTGAAACTTTATTTGGCTCTTAATATCTTATTTTCTTATTATATAAAATAAATGATATATAAATGGGGAAAAGAAAAATATAAAATATATTATGAATATATATATATACAATATTTTGTAAAAAAAATAAATTTTTAATGCATGTGTATAAAATAGATTTATTATACGAGATATGTGAAGAAAAAAAAAATCAACCGATAAAAGTATAATTATTTATAAATTATTTTATGAAAAATCTTAATTATTCAAAATACAAAGACAAAAAAAAAAAAAAAATAAAATAAAATAAAATAGTTATAAGAAAATAAATGTTTTTACACATTTATTAATTTTATTATTTTTTTTTTCTTTTTTTAACAGTTACAAATTATATGAACATTTTTCATATAAAAAAAAAAATTCCTCCTGTGCAAGAATTAAAATTTAATAACATCACTGATTTGTATATTATTTTGAGAAAAAAAAAAATTTTATAAATATTTTTGATAAAATGAAAATATTAAGTTTATCTATTTTTTTTTTTTTTTTTTTTTTTTTTTTTTTTTTAAGATAATTTTACATAAATAGAAAATGTTGCGCACTAAAATTATATAAAAATTTTATGGATTATTTATTATGCACTACATAAAATAAAAAAAAAAAGGAAGTAAAAAAAAAAAAGAAAAATGATAAAAACTTTAATAATACTAAAATTTAAGAAGTTATTTTTTAGAAAATTATTATAAAAAATTAATAAAATATAGCTTTAAAATCACTTTTAGATATATTACAAACATAACAAGATAAATTTTTTTATTAAAATAAGAAAAGCTTTACACTATAAGAAAGTTTTGAATGTTAAGCTCAAAAAATAAAAAGAAAAAATATAATTGAAAATGAGAAAAGTATATTGTAACAAATATTGAAAAGTCCTTCATATATCAAAATTTTCTTAAAATATACAACTATTTTAGTAGTATTAAAATTTTTATTATTAAACATTTTAGTTGGGTGAAAAATTGAATAAATCGTTAATTTTTTTTCATTTTATTTCTTTTTGTTGTAATACTCATTCTTTTAATACATTAGTAAAAATATAATTTAAAAAAATTTCTTTTTTGTTCTTATATTTTTTATTCTAAGAAATATTAATTTAGAATAGATATTTATATGTATTTTATACTTTAGAATGATATATTGAAATATATAGGATAACCCAATGAAATAGATTAATATATAATTAAGTATTTTTTATTATTTTAATTTAAATTTTTTATTAAACATATAGTTATTTAATTTAATTATTTTTTTTTTAAAATAAACATACTTATTTCATTGTTAAAATTACCATAAATGCTTTTTGTAGATTGAAATATCTTACAAGATACAAGAACAAATTTAATTTTCTTAAAATGTAAAGATTTTTTGAAAAGTATACAAATGGCTTTTTTTTAATTAATTTTATATATATATCAATATTAAAAAAACTAATTATAATGATATTAAAAGGAAAGATATTTAGGAAGTAGCAATTTCTCATTCTTATAATTAAATAGAAAAAATTTATAAAAAATAAAAGAATATTTTATCATGAAAATTATTTTTCTTTTTTTTCATTAAAATAGTTAATACTTTTTTGTTGTTATTTATAAGGAAAAACCTTATTTCGTCTGTTTTTTCCTTCTTTATTAATTATATAAAATAATTAAAAGGAAAAAAAAAGGGAGGAAAATAAAATATTTCTAAAATAATGCTTAAAAAAAGGAAAAATTCATTTTTTTAATACTAACTTTTTTAATATGTAATATTTATTTAAAATAATAAATAATAAATGTGTTGAAAATTATGAATAATTTTCTAACATTGAATATCAACTGTTTGAAAGTTTTATACAAAAAGTTTTTATTTTTTTTAATTATTTTTAAAACCAACTTAGAAAATATAAGAAAAAAAAAAATTTATTTTTATTTTGATAAGATTTAAATAGGCCTATTTAATATATTTTTTTTTTATTATATAAAATTTATTTTTATTATTTTATATTGTTTTTCTAACTCATACACAAATTAAATAGTTCTTGTGAATTAGTGATTAATTACTTGATTTTATTTAGGAAAAAAAAATATATGTATATATATTTATATATATTAGCACTTTCAAACAGAAATATATTTTTTTTTTTTTTTTTTTTTTGTGTTTATTAGTTTTTTTTTTTTTTTTTTATTATATCTTTTTCCTTTAATATTTTAAAAATTTACTATTATTTTTTCTCTTAAATTTTATGTTATATATATTAAAAAAAAATAAAAAAATTGTAGAAATATTTTTATGAACAAAAACAAAAATTCTAATACATGTATGACAAACAATGCATTTTAGCATAATAAATATATATGTAAATAAATTCTTTTTTTTTTTTTTTTTTTTTTTTT